TGAACGGCGGATAGAGCGGAGTTCGGACTTAGATTAGAGTAGTGAGAATATGAGCATGGGGCTTGCCCGGAACAAGACGTGTTTTATATGATGTTGAGTCATAACAGCGAGTGTTGGTATTTGGAAAATAGCGCTTAGATGAAGAGAGCCGCTGGACGTTGTCTAGCCGCTTTGCAAACCGTTGGCAGGCATACCCAGAGTGAGGTGGTGATGGGGTGCTTGTGCATAGCAAGGTTACACCATAATTGCCTTGAGACTGGGTTATAGTTGATATGATTATCTACATATATGAGGCGGGTGAGCTTCCTCCACCTTGAAGCGGCATGGTCAGAGTCGGGTGGGCGGAATGGCACGTCTTCAACAGGTCAATGCGGTTGGCCCCCGGTTATGAGGTCATCCAGTAAATCGGCATCACCAGCAGGGCATACAACCTGGTTCATGCACTATGGCTTGCATACGTCTACGCTCGTCTTGACTAGGAGGTCGGAACGCCATGGAGCTGTGTAGAAGGCAACTAGCCCGGGTCTGCAGTAAAATTGAAGGTGGCCGTGACGACACCAGAAGGTTTCTGGTGGAGATGGATTAAACAATGAAGGTCAAGGACACGAGCAACAGGTGTCCCTGATCCATTCCACATTTGGATTTGTGAGACAACAGTGCGGCTGCAGGAAACGTGACTCTCAGCTGTGAAAATTCTGGAAGATGAGCTTCGTGCTGGCTCGCAGAGCCAAGAACCTGGCTCACCCCTGGTCGTCCCTGATCTCGGCCTCGTCGGGGCCGTGGGTTGTCAAACGGGAAGGGAAGGAACACAAGGTAGATCACTGAGAAGAAAACGATAACTAGTTACTTGGCGATTCCTCCGGCTTGTTCGTCTCCTCAAGAATCATCTCCAGGGCCCTTGCTAAAAGTACTCTACCCTCATCACTGTCTAACTTATCAACAGAACACGATCCTTGACCCTCCATAAAAACCGCGCTCGCACCGCAACTCGCTAGTTTGACGATTCTTGTGGTTTCTTCCTGCCATGTTTCGCGCATGCTTATTTCTATTTTGGCCATGATGCTCTCAAAAGCCGGGATGTTTACTCCCACACCCAACCTGAAAGGCCCCCACAAATTTCTATTCTCACTGAGCTTTCGACACTCCCAGTAACGGAATAGAGATGCTTTACCTCTAAGGTTGTGGAACTTGCTGCGGAATATTTTGTCCTGCATACACCTCTCGCAAGTTTCGGTGATGATCTGAAACGGTTGAACTCCAAGCTGGCATGGCTGTTCATGGGTGCATTGCTTCTGATTAACCTCGTTGAGGTGACCGCACCTAATCGAGCCTTGGGTGATAATATGTGATACCATCGTTTTATTGCAGGCAGGTTGATAGCGCTTTTTTGAGCGGCAGAAAGGTTGAAATGGTGATGACTTTGTCTACACATGCACCTTTCAATGCCTTCTTTATATGTCAAACTACAGCTCCGGAGCTGCTAGCATTCTCTATGCACCTATATGCCGTTGGCCGTGTCCCCTGTGGCGTACAGGCAAGGCAGGATTAATGCGACTTGACGCACCGTACAGTTGCCGCCGAACTACTGCAACCAACCAAACCAAGTGGCCATCATGGCTCAAGACCGGACCTCCTTCGGCGTCAGACGATGCCACTAGATGGTGAGGCATGACATACCATTTTGAGCAGGTGGTGACCCCATGCCTTTTCCCCTCAATATGGGGTCCACTATCTGCAGGCTCTTCGCATCAGCCGCACGAGCGCCAGGAATGAAGAGCTTGGAAGGTTTGGCTAGGCTGCCCACCACCAACGATTGCAGGATCTCCGCCTTGCAGAGAAATCCAAGTACAGCCTCACTAATCCCTCCTACTCGTGCCCGCCCCCACTTTAAGGGGATTCGCTTTGGCTCACCCACTAAAGTGGGGCGTGGCACGGGTACGTGGTCGAGGCCTGCCCGACCCAGCGACGTAGGCCAATCATTCGAAATATATGTGGGTTCCTTCCTTCCTTAACCTACCTCCTAAACCTTCGGAACAACAAGTCTTGATCGAAATCCCGGCAGGTTTAGATCCAACGCACCGTTCAGCCCTAACCTTCTTCGGAGCTACACGCATCTTCGCTACCAATAACCTTACCACATAGGATTAGGTGCGTATCCCTGACGTAAGACTGACAGTCTGCGCACGTTTACGGTAACTAAGGCGTCTTGGCACGGGGGGATTTAGATTCTCGGCTTTCCTTAACCCTCCTTACCCCCAGACCCCGCCTTGGTAAGAAAATTTGACCTTCGTCACCTTCCCTCTCTTCATGAACTTGCCTTCCAAATCTGCCTTCCAAATATCAAATCTTCAAGCAGATCATGGAAGGCGACTCGTTGACCTCCAGCGTTAACGGGCCTCAGACAAGCCGAGTCGCACTGCTCTTCAACCAGCTAAGCAACTATGAGCGCGCGCCTAAAGGGTTCATGAAGTCGTGGCGAGAAACCCAACAAGCTGGAGAGTGTTCAACCGCAAGAATATTCCTAGACGAAGGCAAATTCCCAGCCTGGTTCGCATATTTTCTCACCAAGAACGCTGCAGAAACCCGGTATCATTTCCATGGGAAAGCTGAGTGTTCTCGTTTGATCAGTGATCTGGAGACTGAGTCTGTCGCGTCTCGGAAACTGTTGGCGGCACAAGTTGCCGCCGCGATTGGACCGGAAGTAGCTCAGAAAATCAACAGTCTGCATCACAAAAGGATCAAACCGCTTCAAAATGGAAGCATGGTCCATGACTCGAAGAAAAGACGCAGTGAGTCGTCGGCCATATCCCAGTGAGCCTTCTAATACGGAACAGGTATAATAGACAGTGATGATCGTCCACCACCTTCCCCTGCCAATCTGCGCAGCCCGACCACGACGCCAAACGTGCCGGAACTGTCTCTCGATCATGTGCCAGATCAAACGTCGCTATGCTCTTCTGTCGACCTATCCTATTGCTTCGCCGAAAATGAACATGTGCTTGTCAATGCGTCCCTCGCCAATGCTACGCGCCTCTTTCCACGAGACCTCTCGAACGGTATCAAGAGAAATCATGACCCAATAGACGGAAACGTTCTGGCTGCCGCCATATCAATGACATTTCCCAATGCGCCGTTCACGGAAAAATTTGGATGTCAGATGGCACTGGAAGTCACAGACGACAAGGTACAGCATCTTGCACGAGAATTATTCGAGGTGCGCTTAGAGACGAGGGCCGGACTTCGGTATGTGTGTTTCGCCGGCGGCTGCTCGAAAATACTGCCCAACCCCAAATTCACATTCCAGGGGTGTCGGCGCAACGTTATTCTGTCCACTTTTGGCTCCGATATATCCAATGCAATCACAGCAAGCCCTCTGTATCAGGATGAAACCAGGCAATGGCGCGACAGTACAGACTGCGTATCAATGGTAATCTCGCACCAAGCTCACGACGGAGCTCTCATCTTCGTATCTCTGGGGTTATGGGAAGGAATTCAGATCAGGAAGAAATTGTATGTTTGATGGTGTGGATGCTCAAGTTCCTTCTTTCACCCTCCCATCCCTGCCGCCAAACAAAAGACTAGTGCCCTTCGGCACCGTCCCCTCCCCATCGCAGGTCTCGTGGGCTTTCGTAGGGTTTTGTATCGCCAGTATTATAGATTTGTATGAAGGAGTTCCTCCAGTACACCATTTGGCCTGATCCATCAATTGTGGTGGGAGTTTTTCCAGCATCGCTGAAGAAACTTTCGTCTTTCGTGAGATCTTGTATCTCAAATGACTGATGATCATGTTAGGCGAATCCTGATTTACAGAAGGGAACAGACCATCGGAATCTGATCTTTGCACTCAAGAAAGCAAAATTTAAGGATCGTGACTGATGGAAGCCTTCGGCGCCCGGCGCGGTCTGGTCGAGAGCGTTGCGAATTGGAGGCGAACGACGATTATCGTTGAAGATGAGGCGGCAGTATTTGAGCGTCACAAGCTGCACAAAGTCTCCCGATTTTGGATCGCGACCAAGGATAGTAGAGTCCTTTGGGATGGGCGTGATCAGATCGACGACATGGTTGGGGGAGGTGGCGAAGGAGGGGTTGGGCATGGATGCGTCTGGCAGGAAAATCTTAGATTCGAAGTGGGGGCACGCCATAACCTCGGTATTAGAGGGGGTCGCAAAATTGACCGTGGCCTTAGGTCACGTGGGAAGGGAAAGGGAGCAGAGTATTATCAAGGGGTGGTTATCCGTACAACACATTTTGGTAAATGTACAACAGAAAGTGGAGTAAACGTGGCTTGGGTGTACCTAATACATGGCCAAAGGTCGTAGGCATGCAGGCATAGCACTTACACAAGGCCACACAGGCAGAGGTTGCAAGGCCATAACAGCCAGACGTTGTGAAGCCTGCAGAGTGTTGCAAGGCTATACAAGAAGAGGGCACACAAGCAGAGGCCATACAAATCAGGCGGCTTGCAGCCTCACAAGGCTATAGCCTGCCTGCTGCCATGTCGTATTGCGCGAGAGGCGGGTGATGCGCACGTACTAAGTACCTTCTATACATTTGACTGTGGCGTACTGTGGCGTATAGAGCCAGCCAATAGAAAAAGGTGGCGCCACGTCTGCCCCGCCTTTGTTGTACATTTACCAAAATGTGTTGTACGGATAACCACTCCCATTACTAGGGGGGCCTCAAAGTCGGCCAATCCCGTGACAGCTCCACAGTCACGGGGGGGCGGTTGACCTAGAAAAAGCTCGTTGACCTGGAAAAAAAGAAGTACATAAGAGCCCCGCCATTTTGCTAGAACTTAAAAGTACCTCTCTTCCTCGATAAGTGCAACACATGTTCGCTTTATTGCAAGCTAGTCATAGCAATGCAAATGCATCACCATACTGCCTTTGAGGTGTTTTTGGTGTTTTGGCATCGAATTGAGCTCTATTCGATTTCTTCTTCCTTCCCAGCCTCGAGCGCGTCTTATGATTCCTCTTTATCGCATCTCGATGCCGTCAGCTTCAGGAAAGCGTCTGACGGCAAATAGCACGCTTATTTGCCTCCATCACCACTAATTCGGCTGCTTCCTTTACAATCTCGCGATCATAGTACTCCGGCCACATGATCGCCTTGCTTTGCCCTACGCCGCGGTTGTGTAGCTCGCGGAGAATCCTGTAGCTTGCGCACATCCACTCATTGCAATTGAGGTGTGCGCGCTTGTCGCCCTTGGCCCAGAGACCTCTGATGTCTCGAATCTTCGCCTCTGTGATGCTAATCCTGACGTTGAAGCGTACCTTGCGAAGCCAGCGGCGTATATAGCCAGCTTCGTCGCGAACCTCCTTATTCCTGACTCTCTGTGCCTCCTCTTCTTGTGCCGCTTGTCTATTGTATTCGTCTCGGGCGACTCGAATTCTAGCGTCACCGTCGCTTAATGGGCCGTATCTCGCTACAATAGTTGTCTGTTGCTGGAGACTGGAGCGCTTGGCTTGTTTCTCTTTTATCTTCGTCATCTCGGCCGTTGCGGTGATGCCGTTGAGAGCGAGGGTTTTGTCGGCTTTCCGCGCCTTCTCATAGACGTATGTGACGGAGGAGTCAACGGCATGTGGGAGTCAACTGATGTGGCTAGACGAAGCTGTACGTAGGCGTGATACCTCTGAATCGTAGAGAGGTTGAGTCTCGGCGTTGAAACATTGTTCCAGTTGAATCGTTGAATCGAGGCGGCGTGTGTGGCGATGGTGTTGATGGTCTTGCTGCCTGAGGCCCGCCCTGAGGCTCGCTTTCGATCGAGCCCGGCAGGTCCTTAATGGCCACTTCTTCTGTGAGCGACGAGAGCGTGTCTTGAAGCTGGGAGAGCACGATCCGGGATTGAATGGGAAGAGGCCACATTTCTGCCAAGATGAGAGAATTGTGTGCTTTTGAAGGTGCGAGTGCGGACCTCTTGGAGATGATATAGAAAATCGGACTTGTTAAAGTCATATGCCCCGTCAGCAATCTCACGATGTAGAACTTGTTGATGCCAGTGTTTGTATGACCTAAAAACGCCGACATCAAGAGGTTGAAGCTGATGTGTAAGATGGGGAGGCATTGGGAAGACCTTAATGTTGTGATCGAAGCAGAAGTGAACCATCTCTTCTGTATAGTGATTATCACAGCTATCCATAGTAGAAGCCGCTTCTGAAGTGGATCAACCGGTCTCGTGTGTTTCTCGAAGTGTTTGATCCATTCAATCGCGATGACATCGTTAATATACCCCTTTTGGCTGGTTGAAATGATGGTATCGTCGTCAAGGCTGTTGGTAACCCAACGGGCAGGAATTTGGACTCCAGGGAGTATCACAAACGAAGGAATGCAACTCCCAGCTGCAGAAATAGCCTCAATCGCTGTGACCGACACTGTATCGTGAGCGTCAGATAAAATAGGGGTATCAATCTCGCGGAAGGTCCAAATAAATGTGCCTTTATGTAGATATCCCACCATGAAGCCTGTCTCGTCGAAATTCCAGGTGTTCTTAGGGAGAATCTCGTCTTTCTCGATCGTTTGAGACCAGCCGCGAAAAAAAGCCTCAACGTGGATGCGATCTTGCATAGCCTTCCGTTTGATGTCTCGCGCTGCTGCTCTTCGACGGTGGAAGAGTTCTCTATGCCGCTGTATAAAGCGCTTGGCCCAGGCTCGCGATGCTGTAGCTCCCACGCCCTTTGCCTTGAGAATGGCGTTGGCGTGTTGTTGGAGCGCACGACCCTGGATGTGGTGCCCTGTGTGATGCGGCGATGTGCCCGCAAAATACCTCCTCTTCATCCGAGGAATCAAGCAGGGCACGGTTGCCCCCATTCTCGGCCGTTGAGTGATGCCCATTGACTCGATAATAGAGGCGCTTGTAGGGCACGCCAAGCGCCTTCGCCGCGGCCACAATTGAGCCGTAGAAGCCCTCGTAGTAGAGCTCTGCTCCTGCAATAGTTCGCGTCTCGAGGTTTGCGGTTGTATGGCGCGAAAAGTTGGGTAAGCCGGTAGCAGAATCGATCCATTTTTGGACAGCAGACTCTTTAGCTTTTGAAGAAGCCATAGTCAAAGAATTGGCCTTCCTCGATGACTATTGAGATAGTGACGTGACGATAAAAATGGAGTGTTATGACGCCATCGTGAAATGGGTTCTGAATTATTGCCATAGGGGGGTATATGCGGGGTCGAATTGTAACTATGGTAGATATGATCTTAAACATGTCTACTTTTTATTGTATGATGCGTGCACACTAATTGAAGTACCCAGGTTTTTTTCAGGTCAACGAGCTTTTTCTAGGTCAACCGCCCCCCCGTGACTGTGGAGCTGTCACGGGGATTGGCCGACTTTGAGGCCCCCCTAGTATCAACTACTCGTGCCCGCCCCCACTTTTTCGGATTGACACGAAGCGAAATCCGAAAAAGTGGGGTCGGGCACGAGTAAAGAGTAGTCTGTAAGTATTGAATGGCCCAGGGTCAAGCGTGTGTGGGTACGGAATGCCCTTGCCTTGTGCCTTTGCCTTGAGGAACGATGTCTTGAGGAACGAAAGGACTTCATTAGCGCGCGGGGAAAAAAGGCCCCAGACTTGCTTCACCCTCAGAATTCTCCGCCTCTGATTGGCCCACCAGGTCTCTCTCCGCACCTTGGACACGAGCATGATGCCGTCTGGAGTTCGGCAGCGCGATAGCTACACGTACAAGCTGTACGGGTCGCACTGCGAGGGCACAACCATTCCATCGATCTTCGTCGTCCGTGTCCCTCGCAGCTCGAGGGCCACGCGCTCAAGCGTTCGGCCCTGCACCTTATAGTCCGTGCACGCGAAAGGCTGCTGCGCACGGCAAACCCTTCCGGCTGACGTCGTTCTGCTGCCACGGCCGCTTTTGTTGGCAGTCTATCTTGACGCTCATCGGCGTCAGCAAGATCGTGCCCGGCGGCATCCCGACGAAGTGGAGGCCCTTTGTCGTCTCCGATTCGAGAATGATCCCCGCCGGCGGCCCGAAGTGAAGCATCGTGTGTGTGTGTGTGTATTTTTCGTCCAGCGACCTTCAGGTCGCTCAGGTCCCCGAGACGGGGCACAGGACATGCTGAGCTGCTGGAAGTCTACAGTCTACTTATACAGTGAAAATAGGGCGGCCCACAGACCGTGAAAACACCCATGCCATCTGTTCCCGCAGAACGTAAACAAACCATCATCCAGCATTTCATCGGCTCAGAGGCACTTCTTTGCTCAGCCTGTTTCCCGTCAGCGGGACTTCCAGGCGCGACAGTTACTTTGTCTTTCTATTTGGTCTTGCGGGACCGTTGTCGGAGACTGCGAGGGCAGGCTCAGAAGTGAAGCATCATGTCGGCCGAGATCCGATGTCCCGGTACGCCTTGTCGACAATGACCTCCACCGCCGAGTAGCTGGCGCCGTTCACCAGCTTCAGCCCCTGATGGGTGTTGTGGTTCACGACGACCGGCATCCCGGCCACGAACATGAAGATGGCCGGCACCGGGATCGCGCTGTCGTCGCCCTGGTTGAGCATCATGATCGCCTCCTTCTCCGTCGGCAGCTCCTCTTTCCACTTATGCTCGGAGATGAAGATGCGCATCATCGACTGTTGCTACCCGGAACGACAAGCTCGCCTCCATATTTAGGTTCCAACGATTCCGGTTCAGCGGCGTCACCACGGTGATGCCCGCCTCCCACGGGATCCGCCTGCCCTCCCGGTAGCACCTTGAGTTGAGGAGGTATAGATCCGTGCGGTCCTGCACGCCCAGTCGGATTCGCTTCAGCAGCCCCTGCAATTCCGGATCCCCGGCGGCTCGCATTTGCTCGTCCAACATGACGACCGTCGTAAACCTCTTCCACAGCGCGTGCGCTTTGTCGTGCTGGTGCCGCTGCTCGGCCCTGAACGAGTTGTCTACGTCCCACGAAAAAGCCGCGCTCGGCAGGAGGATCGACCTCTCTTGGACCGGCCGGAACTGCTGAAAGTCCCCGCAGAAGAGAACGATGGGGATCCCCCCCAAATCTTCCGGCGATCCGCGAAGCCGGCAGAGCTGCTCGTTCACGGCGTGCAGCGTCCGTGATCCGAGCATGCTCACCTCGTCGATGACGAGCACGTCCTTCTCGTGCCAGCTCATCCGAGACTGCCCGTGGATGAACCGCTCCGTCCGTTTTGGCAGCCGCACCCCGTCGAGATCTTTGGCCGTGTTCGCGCCCGCCCCTTGGTCCTTGCTAAACCCGCAGGCGGAGTGGATCGTGATGCCATTGATCCGCGCCGCGGCAGCCCCTGACGGCGCCGTGATCAGCAGACGATTCGAAAGGCTCTTCCTACTGAACAGCTCGACGAGTGCCTCTATGATTCACGACTTGCCGGTACCCCCCTCGTCGCCGACGAACTGGCACAGCTGGCCGGCATCGCACCTGTCGCTTCGTCGCATCAAATCGAGCTGGCGGCATATTATTAGGAAAGCGATCGACTGCCTTTTATTCAGCGTCAACCGTGTTGCCAACCCCCTGCCCGCCGCGAAGAAGGAGGCTGATGGTCCGAACAGGACGCGCATTCCCGCGTTTACGTCGCTAGCGGTCTCGTCGGAGTCTGCCATCGTTATTTCGATCTCGTCCTCCCCGAAGCCAGTCATCACTCTCCGCAACGCAGCGCGGCGGTCGCTTCCCCAGGCCACGGGTGTGCTCTGTATGCCTTGGATCATCCGCTCCCTCTCCTCCGAGGCACTTGCCTGCTGCGACTTGATGGCCTTGACCTGATCCTGCGGTGGTAGTGCGGCCCCGGAAAATATCCGCCCTGGCATGCTTATCCGCCTCTCCCCTCGTTCGGTCATCACGGTGGCCGCGAGCTCGGCCGTCGAGCGCAGCGCCGATTGCTGGAATCGACAGAGCTGCTGCATCATTGCCGTGAGCTCCGGCGACTTGGCCTTCACCTGATTCGTGCCCACTGCACCTCGGACGACGTCGATCAGCCGCGTTGCGTCTCCGATGCTGTTGGACTGATACGTCGCTGCGGATCCCGCGCCCGCGCCCGCGCCCGCGCCCGCCTCGCTCGCCCCACCCTTCTCCACGTGTGCGACCGTGGGGTCGCCATCGCTGGACGAGGCTGCCCATTGCTTGGCGTCACGCTTTGCGTCTTCAGCTGATCGTCGGAGCAGCTGCACGTGGTCGACGAGACATGATATTCTGGGAGCCAGCGCCTCTCGCGCCCGCGCCTCTCGCGCCCGCGCCTCTCGCGCCCGCGCCTCTCGCGCCCGCGCCCAGATGCCATTGATATCGCCTGTTTCTTCGCATAGGAAGGACTCCCACGGCACGAAAAGCGCTAGGTGCTGCACGGCTGCCCTGTGAGGGGGGGCGAGTTAGCCTCTCCGATAATGCCTGTCGGCGGAGCAGTTCCCATACACACCTCCTCCGATGGCAGGACTCCTCGTCGCCGTGGGCGAAGTCCTTTGCCCGATCCCGACCAAACCCCAACCAAGAGACCGCGACTTTCTCCCGAAACTTCCACCATAGTCGCCGCCTGTAATAGTCAAGGCTCCGCCAAATCTGACACTTCCTCCGTTCTGTCTCAGGAAGACCCCGCAGAGTCAGAGACAGACACCGACCCAGTCAATCACCCAGACACATCCACCCCTGGCTCTATCAGACCTCCCACGTCGATCTCTTCCCGACCGCACCGCGCCCGACATCCGCCCAAGAATATTCTGTAAAGCATCGAACGAAACAACACAACATGACAAGGAACATGTTTCATCATACTCAAACGCAAGGTGCGAAAGGCTCGAATAGGACATTCCCTTCTCCTCTTGCTCACCTTTTCACAAAGACAATCCAGTCAAAACTTCTCCAATATACTCCTTATTCTGTTTATATCTACTACCACTTAAGGGATTTTCCGATGATCTGCCGGATCTGGTGATCTGCCGGATTGCGACGACTTCGCACAGCCTCCATGGCGTAGTGGTGACACGTCTGGAGCCTCTGCGTCGCAGAGGGTCGGTTCGAAGCCGTCTGGAGGCACCCTGAGCGAACAGGGTACACCCGGGTTCCCGCCCGTCAACAGGGAACAGCGTCATGAGAGAACACAATCGGCGTACCAACCACCATCAATGACTAACACAACCACGCTTCAACTTCGACACATCGCGCTTCAGTTGCTGGGAATAGGATGCTAAACACTTGGAGAAATTGACCTTCAAGCAGGTCTGTCATGGAGCAAGACAGTGGTACGGTTGGCGCAGCGTAAGATGATCTGTGGGGCTTGGGAGTCAAGGAACAAAACGTGCTGAACTGTACTCTGGACTGTGTAAAGGCCTTATAGGGACGAAATAAATCCTACCTACCTACCTACCGACATTCTGTCTCAACATCAATCTGGAACGTCTCAACAACCATGGCGGCTATTGACGAAGCGCTTGCTTTCCTGAAGTCCTCAGAATCGGTCAATTACGCTGAAACAGTTCGCCAATTTGGCTGCGATGAGACCACGTTGCGCCGCCGCGGCGCCGCCATCAAGGCAAACAGCGCTCAAGACGCGATGCGGACTCCCTCTATAAATCTCGACTTTCAAAACAGCAGGAACTAGATCTTGTTGCTTATATTCATAAGCTTTCGTCACGTGGCATCCCGCCTACGCTGTCTATGATCAAGAACTTCGCTCAGGATATGGCGAAAATGAAGGTAGGAAAGAACTGGCCGTATAGCTTCGTCAACCGCCATCGTAACGAGCTTGGTTGTACCTGGTTCGATGGATTTGATGTGGCGCGAAAGAGAGCCGACAGTGCTTCAAAGTATAGAGATTATTTTGAGCTGGTAAGTTGATGCACAGCAGCATCTCATTTCCGTTGCTGACGGTAGAAGTTACGCTCAAAAATTGAGGAATACGACATCGCCCCTTGCAACACGTATGTATAACATGGACGAAAAAGGCTTTCTCTTGGGTGTCATCAACCGAACTAAGAGAGTGTTCTCTCTCAATCAGAAAAAGCAAGGCAAATTGCTCGGTGCATCGCAAGACGGCAATCGATCCTGGATCACGTTCGTAGCTTGCATCTGTCAGGACATGACATCGCTGCCTCCTTTTCTCATCTACCAAGGCAAGCCAGGACAAGTTCAGGATGCTTGGCTTACGGAATTTGACCCAGAGCATCAATCAGCCTTCTTTATGACCTCGGATACAGGCTGGACCAACCACGAGCTTGGAAAGAGTGGCTTGTCGGCGTTTTTGATCGGTTTACTAAGGCAAAGGCGCGAAACGGCCGCGATTATCGCCTTCTCATTACCGATGGCCACTCGAGCCATATTAATACGGACTTTCTGGAGTGGTGTGACCAGCATCGGATCATCGTTGCGGTGTTTCCCCCTCATTCTACTCATCGGCTCCAGCCCCTGGACGTATCTCTATTCGGTCCCTTGTCGACGGCATATACAAATCAGCTTATCCGGTGGATGGCAAAAACACAAGGACTTGTTGGGCTGTCCAAACGCGAATTCTGGACCTTGATTTTGAACGCATTGGAGGCGTCCTTCTCCCCGGAGAACATCGCAAACGGGTGGATGCGGACCGGCCTCCTGCCTTTGGACTCCGAAGTCGTCTTGTCACAGATTGTGAAGAAGGAATACGACGATTCCGATGCAGGCAGCGATTCGGAAGACTCCCCTAGCATTGCAGCAACCTACCGCTCGAGAATTACGACGGCTTGTCGACAAAGTGGTCGATAAATCCACCGCCAATGCTGAAGTCAGTGCTCAGAAGCTGAAGAGCACTCTTGAAAGTCTTCAATCCGAGGTTGAGCTGCTCAGATATGAGAACAAGGGACTCCGTGAGACTATAATTCATGAGAAACAGCGCAGGCAGCGTGGTACAGCTCTGAAAGATTATCTCTTTGACCGTACGGATCCTAACTCTGCTCAGGTCTTCCGCCCGCAAAAAGTGGCTCAAGCTCGAGTGAAGAAAGCGGCTATGGAGGTCCAGAAGAAAGAGGAAGCAATCCAGAGGAATTCCAGAGGGTTCAGCGACAGAAAAAGGCGGAGGAGCAAAAAGAGCAGGCGTTGGAAAGAAAGAAGCAGCGAGAGGAGAAAAGGGAGCGAAAATTGCAGGAAAAAGAAGCCAAGAAGCAAGAGAAAGCGGCCAGTCGACAACTTCGAGACGATCTCAAAGGTGTAAACCGGGAAAGTGCGCAACAGAAGCCGCGGCCCCAGCGGGTGCCTTCTAAAGCTCGAGAGAGAGTCCAGGGACTCTAGACGAAATAGTCGTCGCTCTTCCACCAACCCCAGAGCTTCCGGTAACATCGCAGCCGCCAGATCAGCCAAAGGACGGGTTAGCAAAGAAGGTAAGGAGTCATCGATGGCCTTGATAGCGTGAACCTTGCGGTGCGCCCTGAGTTCGTCACCAATGCGGCAAATAAGAGACGTCTGAGGAAAACAGATATAATTAATTTGAATTGATTTAAGGCGTTTAGAATTGGGATTTTGATGGTTATGGCCGCATGGGTGTGGATTGGTGTCCAGCTTACTTGTCTGTCCAGCTCACTTATCAAGTACGTTACACTTCAGTGAAGTTCAGTCCATCATTTGAGCCCTTCTCTCCGTGCCTAGTGCTGCGGGCCCTCACGGGTGGATGCTACAGGTTTCTTATGGGTTTCGCCGCCCGTTAGAGCTGGTCGAACAAATGTACTCTCTAGTGACTTTGACCTTCTTCTGAAGGCGGTCCGACATTGCTGGACTGGCTTTCCTCGGCTTTGGCTTCTGAGAGTCTGCCACATGGGAAGTATTTTGCGTCTCCCCGTTCGCCGATGCTGGAGCGAGCTTTGGTAGCTGAGGTGGCTGAACAATGCGCTCCCATTTGCTCGAAAAGTTAACGTCGTTGACACGTTCGTGGCCATGCGACCTATGCGTATGACCATTCATAGTCGCAGGGTATTCATCGATAGCTTCTATCCATCGCCAAAGCCGTCTGTCTGCCACGAAAAGGGGATTATGTTCGGACGCAAGTGTGATCTTCTGAGCCAATGCAAGTCGTCCCTGCCCGACAGCACTGAAATACTCTCTCTCACGCCTTTTGACTTCGCTTTCGGGCTCGTCGTCAGCTGCCAGTGCTTCCGCCAACGCCAGTGCCTCAGGGTTTGTGGCCAGTCCAGCGAGGATCGCGCGAATATGGTTGGCACCGCCACCATCTTGAGAAATGGAGCAACTAAGTGCAAGTTGATGGAGTGCCTCTAAGTGGTGGTAATCCTGCAGGGCATCCAGGTTCACTAGGCGCATTAGATGTGACATCATGTCACCTATCGTCCAGTGCTTGGGCTCGGGTACAAAACCGCCGATAGTCCTGCTCTCGTCTTCAAACCCGGACCGAAAGGCGTCGACTGAGGCCGAGTCAAACACCAAATCCCGGGGGTGTGGTAGACCAGGGGTGCCGAGTAATTGAACGGGCGGAACAGTGGACGAGAATGCCCAGTCGATAACGCATGTGATATTGAATTCCCCATCAACAAAGATGTTCTGGGTGCTGAGGTCATGGTGACATAGAGGAAAGCCGAACATCCGCGGGATATTCGGCCGAGTCAAGTGAGGGATGATTTGGTCGCGAATGAGATAGCTAGCAATGCTGTATTGCAGGCGATTTTTGCTCGACTCTGCCTTGCCACCAAGAGCAGCGTAGTCGTTCCACCGTCGCTCGGCAGAGCGATATTTGGTGAAATCTGAGTACTCCTGGGGGATGGGAACAGGCGCGAGGAGAATGTGGTGTTCCATTGGGAGTCGCTCAGCATGTAGAAGAAGGGCAGAGACGAGGGAGGAGTAGTAGTCGGGCTCTCCATGGTACGGGCCACGCGAGATATCTTCAATATCGTCGCGGCCGTGGAGAACATGACCGGGGGAGAGACACTCCTCGATGTTGTAATCTTCGCCATCCTGTTCGAAGAGGGATCCAATTGTAGCAAACCGTAATTGGAATAGCTGACACGCGTAGTTTCCAAGCTGTCTCATAATCTTCCCCTTCTCGTCCCGAGTCATAGCCCGTACCGGGTCTGTAGGACTTGCAGGCTTAGGGCGCTCATGGTTATACGTTTGCCAGTCGTACGTTGCGAGAGGATTGCCGGCAGCCTTGCTCATAAGGATGTACGGGATTCCGATATCATTCTGGTCGGTCACGCTTTGCTCATGTCAGCAGTATCCCTAGGCTTGAGGCTGGAAGACACAAAGTTACCAATAATGGAACACCTCTGGAACAGGAATAGAAGTGTGTTTGCGGATATACTTCAGCGTAGCGGCCTCGCTAGCCAAAAGACGGCAGGCGGCAGTATCGCCAACAACAGCATATCTCGTCCTGGGCGATCGGAAAACCCACTCGACACCGTCATCGAACTTCAACAATATTGCCCAATTCAAAGCGCCGGACATCGGGGCTTGAGATACGTCGCAAGTACATGGCTGATGTCGGAACCGTTCTGCTAAATGAAGGAGTTGTACAAGGTTGAAATCGCCATGGTAGAATATATCTCTCTTGCGGCGTTCAGCAGGCATAGACTCCGGCATCGAGGCTCAGCCGTGGTGTTTACCCCAGAATTGCATAAAGAAAATGGGCGCCCGTCGATTTTGTTGGGAAAGATTCTTGCCTTAGGCAACAACAAGAAGACGGTGGGGCTGCTTACAACCCCGAGCCCCGCACTATGAAGTCCGGCAGCCAGTCTCACAACACTCGAGCAGCACAACAGAAACAATCAGCCATGCCTCGCAGAAGGGCACTGCAACCACCAACGCCGGAAAACATACCTCCTCTACCTGCTGGGGCGTATAAGAAGTTATACTATTCCTACCCTGATACGGTGTATTACCTGCAAGATCGTGTGTTCTGTCGTCTCCGGGGGCGAACCCTTGACTAATGGCGCGTAGCCAACGACACTGAATGGAGCCGAGGAACCGTCGATCAAAGTACCAGTAGTACCACTCTTCATTATGTAGGAATGTCTTTGCTTCTCAGCAGATTTCGTATAACTAATGTTTGCTAGGTGATTGACGAGTCAGATGGCCTGATATATTCTGTCTACGCCCAGTACATCCGCAAACGGGCCGACGGGGACTAAGGTTTAGCTAAGTTATCTCACTGGCTCAGCAGAGAAATATAACGCATCAAAATGGTCCCTATAGGCTCTAGAGCCTCTACTCGTTACCTATATAGGGAAAACCCGGTGGCCCAGGAGGAAACCTATATACAACCTTCTCATCTGCCTCGGCTAGCGGGCGGCCCTCGTCGCGGTGTTGAGCAAGATGGGTCGCAGCCGCCAGCCTGGTGCAGGTGGAGACCTCCGTCCCAAACCGGGCCGGGTCGTCAGGTCCCGTAGGCGCGTTACACCCGAATAGCCGTCAACTCGCGCGCGGCACGGCGGAGACTCTATCCCGCTTATACCTCCTCCTCTTAGGAAGCTCTTCTCACTGGTGTTCGGTCGGTCGCCCACGGCCCGCCAAGACCCCGAGTGTTGAGCCGTACTAGGGGGGGGGCACGCTTGATGCCATTATGGGAGCCGTTCGCAGCTGTTCGTGATTGGGAGCCGACAAGAGTAAAAACCTTCACTGCTACCGTGTTCTCTCTTTCTACTCTCCGTCCGCTCGTGGTCGTATTGTTGTCGCGGCGCTGGCAGACCAGCTTCTTGCGAGGTCTGCTGCTACCTTGTAGCGGGGTATTGACCGAAATTTGAGAAACCATCGGACGAGGGATGGGGCTGTGTCGGTCGAGACTCTGTTGTAGAGACGAGTTACGTGGGAACGGGTTGGGCGAGGAAACTCGGGGTGTCGTTCCTAGACCCTTCCGCCGCGGCCTGGTGGGGGGCAGCAATGCTACTCGGCGCCAGCTCACTTTCTGGCTGCAGTGGAGACGATTTTGCTTATCAATAAGGGGTTGCAACTCTTACAGCTCAGTACTACCAGGCAGCCAGATGCGAGGGTGCTGTCAATCACCCAAGACGTGGACTTGCTGCACTGTTGTGAAGACAGAATCGGCCGCAGGTACGGTAACGGGAACCCAGGCGCCCATGATCGGCGGAAGGGTCTAGGAGCGACACCCCGCGCTTTCTGTACCCAACCTTCTCTCCCGAATTTCACTTATGCGACAGCTGGTAATTTGGTCTTATTCGAACGCGTAAGGGTCCATGGCGCAAACCCGGAAATGGCCGCGAGTGGCGACAGCGCTGGTGCATAGGCTCAACGGAGCCTCGTGAAGCTGTATGGCGTGAATGGACGAGAAGGTGGGAAAGAGAGCTGCGAGACACGAAGGCGCGCAACCCTCGTCGTACTCTCCAACCGTCAGACACCGAACCGCCCGGGAGAAGGCTAAAGGCCCACGCCGACCTCTACAAGCACGAGAGCTCCACGCTTATCCAGCTCCGCACCGGGAAGATAGGTTTTAACAGCTTTCTCTATCACAGGAACGTCCCCAGCGCGACGACCCCCCCTCTGCTGGTGCGGTGGCGGGGAAGAAACTGTGTTCCACGTCTTCCTCCACTGCCCCCCTACAAGCTGACAACCGCAGGCTCCTCCCAGCCGCCCTCCGCACTGACGCCCTCGCACTGACGCCAACCTCCGTGCGCTCCTTATGCAAACTAGGTGCACGAGGGCTTCCGACCCAAGATGACCTAGGCGTTGGTGCCACCGTATGGCTTCTGCAGCGGACTCGGGTCTCGGCTGCGCGGATGAAGTGAAGGCAGTTGCCGACTGGGTGTGCGATTCGTAATCGACTTGGTTGTATTCGATGATAGGCTGGCGAAATCGCCTCTCTGTGCGAAAGATCGTCTTTCCGTCTCTTGAGACAGCGCCTGTTGCAGGGTTCCAATTGTATCCTCTTTTGAGAAAGAGATCAAGAGATGCAACGTTTGTGTGGAAGTTTGGGATGTAGGCGACGTTCTGCAATCTGAACTTATCTGAGCTTCCGATGCGGATGAGAACGTCTCCGTATCCGTGGATCTCAAGCAGTGTGTCTGCCGAGAAGGCTGCTTCAGGCTCATCGCAGGACTTGTACGTGCCTTCCGTAAAGCGTACCGAATTGTTGCAAATGTGAAAGTCCGATCCGGAATCCATGATGAACGAGTCACGGAGTGGATAGACTGGTGATGTTGAGAAGGCTGACTTGATCTGTGGATCGGGTGACTGCTCTTGCTCCTGGTCCTTCTCGCCTTGGTTCTTTTTGTCCTTGGCTCTGAGTCCAGCGAAGGCAGTACCTCGGAATTCCGGTGATTCTTGTCGAGACTCTTCCTTCCTTTTACGATTCCTGATGGACCGTTCGATTTTGCCCTTGGTAGTAGGGTCTTTGAGCTTCTGATCGATTTCTTCCTGGACTTTGCTGTCCGGAGACCATCCTTCAGGTCGTACCGAGTCAGAGAGATATGGACATTCTGAGTAGAAATGCCTGTGACCGCAGAGGCACGGTGGTTTTCCTCCTTGGTTCCTGTTGGGTTTTGATGTTCGGGTTGTACCGGAAGCATCGGGCTCTCCTTCACCTTGGAAGGTGGAAAATGCACCTTTGGTGTCTGAGTTGCTGGTGGTTGATCGATACGATCGCTCGAAGATCTCACTGATCTTGATTCCGTCAGGGAAAGTCTTTTGCCAGTCGTCGTCCGGATTGGACAGGGCATTTGCTTCCATCTGATTGATCCAGACTTTGGAGAAGGTCGAGTCGATTGCGTTCACAGCTTTGAGGAAATGGCGAGTTGGTCGCAGGTCTTTCACGTCGGGTAGGTCGAGATTCTTGGCTTCGTTCAGGACGACTTGCCACTTCGAGATCCATTCTTCGACTTTGGACCGGCTGACTGCCTTAAGCGTTGCGTAGTATCGATCTGTGACTTCACTCTCCCGAGCCCAGTCGGTTGGTTTGACTCGGTTTTTCAGGATTGTGAGTTCCTTGGCCACATCATCTTCCTTGGCGATAATATCGTAGTATTTGCCAACGGTCTTCACGATGTGTTCTTGCAATTTTGCGAGTGCCTTAGTTTTGTCCTTGTAGGTCTGGAGCTGGCTTCGATGCCGTGCCTCAAGGATCTGAAACTTAGTAAGGCTGTCCCCTTGCAGTTGGTGTATGCCGGTGGCATTTTCCTGCACTTCTCCTGGCGTTGGTTCGACTGGCGGCATCAGAGCCGGCTTGCGCGCAACGGCAGGGTCAATGAAATCCCAGATTTGTTGATTCTTCGCAAATTTGCGAACAATGCTGATCCATAGATCCCAATTACCGGGGCCTTTGAGGGTGACCCGGGAAGAGACTTCGAGGTCGTCAGCGGCCATTTTGGCGTGCTTATTGTTGGTGAGGCAAACGCAGTGGAAGCAATGTGTGTAGTAGAAACCCGGCTTAGCAGACCGGGCTCATAACTGTCACACAACAAGAGGCACGGACAGTATGGATGACTGAGCAACGATCGGGAAGGAGATCCCCTGTGAATCGGGCAACGAAAGACTCTTGATTCTCTATCTAAGTGATGGTGAAAAGTTGGCTTCTTATACTTGTGATTTTGGGCTGAGTGGCGATGTTGCCACCCAGGCAGCATAGATGACGACGTCACCTAGAAGGTTCGAATCCATCACTAATATGGCATTACGAACTGCTTGCTGCCTGTTAGGCAGCACAGTGAATGAGCGTTCCGATCTTGACACTTTTTCTTTCCTTCTTCTCTATCTTGATAGTAAACAGCATAGGGACTAGTCAGTTGAATCAACTCACTAGAGGCCTTTCACAGTATGCTCCTGAATCCTTAAGAGGGATCGGTCGATGTACCGGTAGACCCTGAGATCAATGCAAAACACTGGGAAGATAGATTCACCGTCGTACTGCGGGGTCCAGCGGTTGAACCGCAAATTTGCCACCATCATCTTCTATGTTCGAAAGCTAGAATATCGCGTCATACGGGTCAGCCAATCACTGTTCATTACCGACAGCCCAGTTATTAGTCTTCGGAGCTAAGTTTTGAACCCGCTTTCACGACACCTCACGCTTCACTTGTCGGCTTAATGCCTCATACTTTGCGTGCTCGTCAGACTGGAAGCCTTATTTTTTTCGGGCCCGAGAACAAGACGTTTACAACGAGTATCGCACATCGCACGACCGTAGATCTTTGATCGCACGACAGGCCCATTCTTCCGTGACCTTCGCCCCACCAGGCCCCCCATCCGATCTGTGTAGTCCGGCGCCGCTGGGAGTCACACTAAGTCACTAGGTATATCAAGCACCAAAAAGTCAACTGTACGTCGCATCTGCCTCGCGTGGGGGTTGAAGAACTCTTGATTTTTCTATCTAAAGAGGGAATGCTAAGCCATTATAGACTGCCTGAAAGAGGGACTCTTGAGTAGTAGAAATATCCGATCAGAGTGTATGGAAGCTATTGGTATTAGGTGTCTCCAATTGGAACGTGTTCATACCTGGCTGGTCTGAAGAGGGAGAAAGGGTCAGGCTATTGGAGGCTGGGATCCCTTGTGTGATGCCCTGTGTGACACATCTTATGTGACAATCGATTTTCCTGCTGCCGTTTATTTGCCGATATTTGATCTATGGCCAGGGAAATCGTTGCGCTCTTGGTTTGTAGGTAGAGATACAAAGCCCGTCACAGAGCAGGACATTCCCTCAACGAAGCCTAATATCCTGGTTACAGGAAGTTCCTGTGACCTGATAAGCGATGCCGGCCTTCCCTGCGACGAGGCTATAGGTTAGCAGCTAGCGGGTTTAACAATCATATTCTGCGCACATCGGTACTGCATTGAACACAACGCATGTCCCATCCCTCTATGTACGCGTCAGCCCGCATGCGGACACGTAGAGGAGCAGTGAAATGCATCCTCATTCCGCCTGAACCTGGTTCTTCCCAACACGTTCGCTCGGAGAACATTGACAGTGGACACCGATCAAGTGCCGGGACCATAGCGTCAACGATAAAAGCATAACTATAGCATTTCTCTATGACATAGACAAGCATTGGCAGCAAATCCAAGGAATCAAATGCTTTAAATTCATGAAACTAAGCACTGTGAAGATGCAGACCTAGTCTTCTAGGGACTGACAACGCTATTCCCGTGATGGCCACCCTTGGTATGCTCTAAGCTGCCACCTCGGCCTCGTCTCAACAGTATTTTGAATTATGCACTCAAAGTCCCCTCCCCCGCTCCTTACATATTGGGAAATAAAAGCTCAAGATGATCCTTAGGCCCCAAAGCCTGAAAATAAACCCCCTCTTCATCCAAAGTTCTCTCCTTCCTCAGAGCATCCATCAGCTTGCCCTCGACACACCGCTTTCTTTGCTATCCAGATTCCTCTTTATTCTTGGACCTCTTCCACTGCCAACAACGCCATGGAGCCTCTTGATCTCGTCTTTAACCACCTGGTCTTGCCGCCCAAGCTGCCCAACCACCGGGATCTCGATACAGAAGCCATAGGATCAGCCATTTTGGCTCGCCTGCAGAGCGCCTGCCGAGTCGTAAGCAACAACTCTGGTGATGGCTGGCACGCTATCCAACGCTGTCTTTGCAAATGTAAGGGCATCGCGGAAGCGAGCTTCGATGCCCAGCATTTTCTGCGAGATATGGCCAATTTCCGCCCCGACGATGTTTTCTTGCTGCGCATATCGGAGCAGAATGCAGCGCTTTTGATCCGTCGTCACGTTCAGTCAGTGGCAGTCTCTGAATGGTGTGATGCTGCGTCCTAACCGTCAACATAGAAACGAGGAGCACTTCGTCATCTTCGAAGTCTTTGAAACCTCACCCTTGGCGAAACACGTGCTTGAGTCCGACAACGCTCTCGAGTGGGATTTCCCCGGCCGCGCCGCTCAGATCACCCTAGACGTGTTCCAGCAGCCTTCGTTCCAGGAAAATCTCTCTCGGTTCCTAGAACAAGCGGCTCAGGAACCGTTGCATCGCTTCGCCGCGCGTGCCAACAAGGCTGGAGCAACCCCCGTCGAGTCCAGAGACACCACCGACCCGGGTCTTTTGACTCAGTTCCTCATGCCCTACTGGAGGCGACGGGGCATTCGGTCGACACGATCAGGGTACGAAAGCGCGTCAGAGACGATGTGAACATCTACAAGGGCGAATCTCCCTGGAGGAGAGACCCATCTTGGCTGGCCTTGCGCGTGGCTGTCCAGCGCCAACTCTGCCTCAGCATGGGCAATGAGAACGGTCGAGCGTCCTATAAGTTTTTGATCTGCGCCGTGCTTGCTCAGCTGCTCAAGGACTGCGCCGGAAAGCTCTCCCCGGGCATGACGCTTGTCCTGAGAGCCAAGCTGTGCCGCCGCCTTGCCAAGCTTGAGCAGGAAAAGTCCAAGGCCTCCAAGTCCGCCCATGGTGTATACCAGGCGTTGTTCGACACCGTTGGAACCCAATGCGAGAGCATCATAGCCGAGGCATCACTTCAGATTGAGAACGCCTGGGACAACTTCAAAAAGGCTACGACACGACTGATCCCTCTGCTTCCGTCTCGCGCCAAAGAGCCTTCGCTTCACCTTTCGCTGCCGAGAAGCGGTGAGCACCTGCGGAACCTCCTTCAACAGCCGCCCACAATTACCGCCAACGACAACCGTATGGACTTGAGCCTACCTCCGCTGGAGAAGACTGCGATCCATGAGCTGAGTCAGCTCGCAAGCCGCTACTTCAAGCTTGCAGACCTGGAGTCGAGTGCCCTGCAGCAGTCTTATTTTGCAAGCGAGGCATCTAGGCAAGCATGCCAAGATGGCTGTGTCGCAATGGCCGAGTCGCTTTTTCGCCTCTTGGCGATTAGTGAATTCAAGTCTTATACTTCAAAGCCGGACCAAATGAGCCTCTTTATACTGAAAGTCTTTGAGCTTTGGGTCGAGATGGACAAGTGCGCAGTGACGGCCTGCCCTCTTTTGGGCGACTATCACCCTTGTTCCTGCCGAGGCTTTGGATGTCCTGCACCTCGCCGAACTGTCAGCCATGAACCGACTCCAACAAGTCCAAGGCTATCTGCGGAAACGAAGATTCAACTGCAAGTACCCGAGCGAGAACATCTTGTGCGGGCCGAGCAACAACTGTTTCGCTGCTCGCTACCTGCACGAGGACGAGAATGGCCGTTCGCTGCAACACCTGGTGGCCAGGATTGAGAGGAACTCCGAGGCGGCACGCGATGCAAAAACCCTGGAGTGGCGGGAGGCCTGCCGCGAGTATGACAGGTTGAGCGAAAAGATTTCATCCGGAACCTGTGTTTGCACCTTCGACGCCGATGGATCGCGCAATGTTCACGGCTGTGCCAAGTGCTATCACTGGCGTGTCCGCAAGAGGATGACTATTTCGGTCCACGAGTCCTATCTCCCCGCTGACTCCGTGCAAAAGTCAACCGTTGCTTTCGAGCTCGCCATTCCACCGTTTATCCAGACCTATCGCAACGCTACCTGGAAGATTCTGCACCAGCTCAGGCACCCGGGTTCAGTTGCCAAGTCGGCCTCACCAACCATGCTGCTCAAGAGCTACTCCCAACTGACGCCGTACAATCAAACTGAGGCCAACGGAATCTCCATGGCTTCCGCCAAGAAGTCCTTTCTTCAGACTCACTACAAGCAGCAGCGCATGAAAGTTGACCTGCCCAGTGTCGTCTTGCCTTGTGGACTCAGCTTTGAATACTACGACGAGGGCTCTCAGTCTTGGGTCAGCAACTTCAAGGATCCCGTCACATTTCAGCATTTATGCGGAATCCGCATTCCGAGAGCTTTGCTCGAAGCCGCCGTCGCCGATCCACGAATGCCTACTTGGACGGATGGTCCGTCCTCGTTTCAGACTGTTGCCAGCCAAACCAAGTGCCCCTCGCACAAGTCGGTCCACGAGTTCATGGCCCTTCAGAAACTGCTGGGAGGCAAGCACAGGCGTTGGATGACGATTTTGACGGAGCTCGGCTCTTCAAACGTCAACTTCAGCGATGAGGAAAGCACGTATCTTTTCAACCAGCTCGCGATCCAAGCTGGCCCTACAGAGTGCACAGACGATGTACTGAGGGACGTTCATGTCATTTTTCGCGATGAGTTGTTCTGCAGTCGTCTCCGGGAGCAGATTGAGAAGCGCATTCGAATGGTCAAGACCAACTGGCGGGAGTCGCACTACATGGAACTTCTCATCACACTGGCCCTTCGACTCCATGGCTTGACAAGCGGAGGAATGCGTCAACAGGCGTACGAGCTGCTCAAACTTGCTCGCCGGGCGACACTGCAATGGAGCCTGGACCTTCGCGACAAGATTCACAATGAGACCGATGCCAACGAGGCATTGCGGGTGGCGCAGTACAGGTTTCAGGCAGCGCTGCTCTGCAGACGAACCTTTTCGGTATTCGCCGACCGAGAGAGGGAGACTATGGACGCCGAGGAGCTCAGCGCGTTTGTAGAGGCGTCTATTTCCTTGCAGCAAAGTCTCGTCGTTGATCCGACCAGGCTCACCCCCAATCAGGAGAGCATGTTAATGAGAGACTTGAAAATGGCATACCGCTTCCGATCTATTCTGCGAGAGTCTGTCCAGAGCAACCCAGAATTCCTGGGCTCGGCTTTCTGTGGCGCGAGATCCTGGGAGCCTCGAGAGCAGTCAAAGCAGCGCTTTACGCAGTGGAGGTTTTTGGACAAGCCAAACGACTCATGGATTGCCTCTGTCATGAGAAGCGAAGCACAGCATGGGGCCGCACCGCAGGTCTTTCACTACAACATCGTCGAGGCCATCTTCTCGTAGATGGCCAGCCGTTAGGAAGACCGCCACTGGATATTATCGGATCAACAGACGTCAAGTACTTGTTTGGTAAACGAAATTTACTGACATATCCTTCGTATTTGACTGGTATGAGTCATGTCGTGGCCATCCCTGTCGATGATCATCATATTCATTTCGGCCGTCGCGGCGATGAAGTTGTCATAAGGGCCATCCACTGGACCCGTGGCCGGACGGATCTTCTTGAGTACATTCCGGGCAGAGTCTTTCGAGGGGAGTCTGACTTTGACTTGCCGTCGGAACTGGTTGACAGCTGCGCTCACTGGCTCAACCTCTCCACCGGGGACCTTGAGATCCGAAGACAGCCAACCATCTGGACCTCTAGGCCTGGAAACTGGACTCTCAATGTTCAAACTCGTCAGGCCAAACGTCGTGAGACTTACCTGGTTGACCCTCACTCGGAAGTCTTTGGCAAGATCAAAGACATTCTGCAAGGCTTCGAGAAGTCAGAGAGAATCACGGTCTATCAGCCCCCTATAGGAAATCTGTCCGTGGAATTGAAGTTTCTGGAGCTCTCTTTCGTCGTCAATCGCAACAGACTGCTTCAGTGTCGGCAGCTGCAAGCCGAGATTGATCCAAACCAAGACGCTGGAGCTCTTTACGGGTTTGAGGGCAAAATTGTTCTCCGAGACATGGTTGATGGGCACCGGCGAAGTATCATTGCTGGCCTGGGAGAGCTTTCCTATCAACGCCGCGGGATTCACGTTGCCGTTCGAGTCAAGGATACTAATGCCTACGGCAAATTTGACATCGACGGCGTTCTTGGACGTCTCACATGTCCGCCGGAAACGCGTCTCCTATACTCTATGGCCTTGTTCCACGCATCAACCTCTTTCCTCTGCCGGATCCGCTCACAGCCTCTACTGGGGCCGAAGAAGCGTATCGGATTCTCGGCTCTGGTGCCTGTCAACCCTGGATGCCCTGGCCGACGGCAGTCGTTTGATTTTGAAAGAAATTGAGCAACTTTGTCCGCGGAGGATTACTACCCAAGAGACAAGAGGATTCTTCAGACTGTCCAATGGAATCGCGACCTGACCATGGAAGTCCAGCACGACAGTTACGGAAGGCTTATTGGGGAAATTCTTCTCAAATCCATGCGCCTTCACGCATTTCACACTCAAGAGCCGTGCGTCAGCTCGGCAACAGAAGACGACACGCATTCCCTCCAACACCGCGCCACTGTACGTCGAAGTCTCTACGAGCGAAGTCTCACCGACAGCTCAGTGGAGCGGAACGAGAAAGTAGTGGTCTACGAGTCTAGAGATCGCATCGCTGGCTCCCGCTGCGGAATCAATGTCTACCAGACGGCCAAGATCCTCTACTGCCTACCATTCAAAATTCCCAAGACGAGTCTCGCCCAGATCCTCCAAGATATCCCCGGAAGATCATTGGGGATTTCACGCTGTTTCCGATAGCCCCTGTGGCTCCCTGGATGCCTTGGTCGGCAATGATGTCGGCGAGCAGTGGGGAGTTTGGTGAACCTTTGCAGGAATGTAGACGACGACAACATCTATGATGTCGTTTTCCGCCTCGGGCTGCTGGCTTTCAGCACGAAGCCTAATAATGCGGCAATCAGGGCATTGTGTGCATTCTCGAGACTTGAAAACTGCGAGATTTGCAGCCACCAGACTGTCCTCTCTTCACAGACTTCAAATACCGGGCATCCCTGACGCTGGAACGTCTGGAAGAGCTGATCTTAGTCGAATTGCCTGCTCATGAGCCGCAGCCCGCGACGCTGAAGCATCAGAAAGCGCAGTCCGAAGGTCGACGGAAACCAAGCGGAGAAACGTTGCGAAGGGTTGGCGAAACACCTTCTCGCTCAATGGCCTTGTGCTACACCCTCCACGGTGGATTTTGATGCTGGCGACACTGAGATTCCGCAACCCATGGAGAGAGTGCACTCGGAATGGACCCGGCTGCACAACAACCTGACGCTCTCGGAATATCTCGATGAGGCGCAGGCAATTTTGGACCGCCACATCGGAGGCGCGGAAACCTCGAGACCCAAGCCTTGGGATCCCTCAGAGGAACTGGTTCGTCGGCTCACGGAACAGTCGTCCCGTCTCTGTCGCAAGAGCTTCTGCTCAAGCAGGGGCCTAGCGCTCCTCCCGTTGGCAACTTGTGCCCTCTCTCCCAGGCCATCAGCCCTGCCTCGGATAAGGACGAAACTTCCAAGGGAAGCGCTGAAAAGAGAGAAATGAAGGAACTTGGCCAGATCTTGACAACATTCGCAAACTCGTCGAAGCCACTGTGGCAGCAGTATGGCAAGGACTTGCTTCAGAGTCACGACGCGTTGCGCGAGCTTGAGACGAGCAACAAGGTCAAACTAACGTAGAGGAACTGGAAAGTATCGACCAGAACATATCAATGGCCCGCGAAGTGGTCTCGAGATGCGTTGCTCTCATCGCCAACGCGCTGTCCTTAAACGACAACCGGTTTCGATGGCTACGGCAGGGAAACCTCTGGCCCCGAGTCTCTTCAGTTTCGCTCCTCCAGCAACTGCGGTCAAACGACAAGGCCATATTTGGCCCGGGAATGAAGGAGCTGCTAGTGTTCTATGGCACCTCAATCACAACTCTTCAGTGGCTTCTGAGAATTAGGCATGCGTTCCGGAGAGGGGACCGTCAGAAGCTCCTTAAGCATTGTTCGGACAGAGGGCACAGCAACTGGGACCCGATCGAGTTTCCAGATTGGCTGCTTCTGGAGATTGAAAGCAACCTCCTCATTCGTCGTGAGCAGGTTGAGGTTGCCAACGCAATCATCTCTCCGCCTTCGTCCGCGAACTCTGTGCTGCAGCTCAACATGGGAAAAGGTAACACGCCCAGCCACACCGAAGGAGACATTCCAATCGTCGCGTCTCTCCATATGTTGATCAAGAACTAACACAATCTACAGGGAAAACATCTTGCATCGTGCCAATGGTCGTTGCCGTTCTTGCAGACTCAAAGCAACTTTGCCGGCTCATCGTGCCAAAAGCCTTGCTGCTCCAGACTGCCCAGACTTTGCAGTCCAAGATCGGAGGCTTGCTTGGACGTGAGATGAGGCAAATTCCGTTCTCTCGACGCACCCCTTCGAGCTCGGACATGCAGAAGCTCTACGTCGATCTTCATCGAGACATTCTTGGCCGCTCCGGTGTCATTCTCGCCATTCCAGAGCACATAATGTCATACAAGCTGAGTGGATTCCAGAAGCTCGCCGACTCCAAGCTCAAGGAAGCTCGCGAGATGATGGCCATCCAATCTTGGTTGACCAAGACTTGTCGTGATGTGCTCGACGAATCAGACTTCACGTTGGCAGTCAAGACGCAGTTGATCTACCCAAGCGGACAGCTCGTGCCCGTAGATGGGCATCCCGATCGCTGGAAGGTAGTCCAGGGCCTTTTAACACTCGTACACGACAATCTGGCTGATCTGCGCAAACGGTTTCCTCATAGGATCGAGGTGGTTGAACGAGCGCCTGGTTTTCCCATGATTTACATTGTGCAAAGCGAGATTGAGGACACGCTCCGCAGCAGAGTCACCGACACAGTTTGCGACGGACACACTTCGATTCTTCGCCTGCCCAGCTCCTACACCGATGCTTGCAAGGCGTGTTTGAGGCGGGTCCTAACCGAGGACAATCCGGACCCCGAGGACTTTGCAAGTTTGTCAAAAGAGTTCGCCGCAAAGCCATCGCTGTTCAAGAACGCTCTGATTATTCGAGGCCTCTTGTTGAAGGGAATTCTTCTCCTCTGCCTCAGGAAGAGATGGAATGTCCAATACGGGCTGCATCCGAAGAGGGATCCTCTTGCAGTTCCCTTTGAGGCAAAAGGAGTGCCGTCCGAGCAAGCCGAGTTTGGCCATCCCGATGTTGCCATAATCTTCACCTGCTTGTCCTTTTACTACGCAGGCCTCACGATCCACCAGTTCCAGGAAGGACTGGGGAGAGTGCTCAAGTCTGATGACCCAGCCTCAGAGTACGATAGCTGGACTGCCGGATGCGACTCCTCCCGGAAGCCCTCTCCATTGGAACCTCATCAATGTTGATGATACCGGACAAGTTGAGAAACTCTGGAACCATCTGCGGCTGAGTCGAGAAGTGCTCGACCATTATCTAAACACCTTTGTTTTCCGCGCTACGCGAAGCAGTTTGCCGTCAAACTGCAGTCTTCAGGATGGATTTGCCTCTCTTGTCTTCATGTTCAGACGAAAAGAAGCTCACGGCAAAGACAACAGGGTTCAGTGGCACCAACGACAATCGAAGGCTGCTGCCCTGACCATCAGGCAAGATGACCTTCCGAGCCTGAAGCACACCAGTGCCGAGGTGCTCACATGCCTTCTCAAGACAGGAACCGGGATTGTATGATCGCAACGAGCCATGGAGCGCGGCTTACTGAGGAGGAACTACTCAAGCACCTGTCCAACGCAAAAATTCGGCTGTTGATCGATGCTGGGGCCTACATTCTGGAGATGGACAACCAAAGTCTTATCAAGAAATGGTTAGAGAAAGACACGGATGCAAAGGCAGGAGTTTTCTTTGGCACGCATGACAACCGAGCCTGGGTTCGGTACCGAGATGGAAAGGAAATCCCTCTTCTAGCCACGCCATTTGCCGAAAGCCTGCAGGAATGCCTCGTCTACTTGGACGAAGCCCATACTCGTGGTACTGACCTCAAGCTCCCACCACACGCCCGCGGGGCTCTCACCTTGGCTCTGGGGCAGACCAAAGATCACACAGTTCAAGGTATGCAGCGACTTCCCTTGTTTCTTGAACCTCAAAGCTAACGAGTACGGCGTAGCTGCCATGAGGCTTCGGCAACTGGCCACGACACAGTCCGTCACTTTCTGCGCTCCACCAGAGGTCTACCGCAGCATCTTGGATCTGCGTCGCAAAAAGGACGGGATGCGAATCAGCTCATTTGATGTCGTCCATTGGTTGCTCGAGCAGACGTGTCGAAACAACGAGCAGTTGCGCAGCCTCTTCAATGCCCAAGGCATCGACTTCTGTCGCCGGACAAGTGCCGCTCGGCAATACCCCAAGTTCCTCTCGGAAGAAGCACACACATCGGCCCTCCTAGAAGTTATCAGATCTCCCGAAGAGATTATGCTTGATGAACTATACGGGAGCGCCGCACAGACCCCGAGGAACAATGCACCGGAGAGCTTCCACTCTAGCCTTCGCGGGATTGCAAGGCAGCTGGAGCGATATCCTGCTAGCTGTGGAGACAGCTCGTCTCTTACTTACAGTTCACTCATGGAGGAAGTAGAACAGGAGCGAGAAGTAGAATTCCAGGTTGAACAAGTCCGCCAATTCCAGAAACCTCATCACTACAAGAGCCTCCGCTTCTCCGGTCTGCATCCGGCCATCTCATCGTTTGTCCAGACGGGACTGCTCGACGGAGATTCGGGGTTCGAGTTGGTGTCTACCTTTCTTGCAAACACAGGCCTGGGCAGGGTGGCAAACCACTCAATCCCAGCAACGGTTGCTCAATATAGTTGAGCAACCGTCAACTCAATCAACTCAATCGAGTGTCTGCTGAATAAGCTTGTCAATTCAATTCATGCTCCCGTTGATTGATGGATTGATGAGATTGCCGTTGACGGTCAGGGATCCTGTAGGGTAGGTGGCCAAGGCGAAATGTAGGTACGGATTGGGTATATAGCTACCACTAACCTTACAGGTTACTCAGGCCCGTTGTAGGTAAGCCTGCTCTCCTCTTCGGGGAACAGGGCCCCCTGTTCCGTTGGAAGAGTCGACGCGCTGCGCGCATCGACGCGCTTCACAACAAAGTTCAATCTCTCGCCTCAGTTCCACTTACACTTCTCGATTCTTCCACAACGCCTTGGCTGATCTAAACATTCCTATATGCAATGAGCGAATCTCCTGAGCCTTCTTCTACTCCCTTGCCGCCATCAGGCGATTCAGGCGACTCAGGCCCCGTTCCCCATCTCGAGTGGGATGCCTTCCCTGGCATCACTTCCGCGGCTATATCAAGTCTCAACGCGCCGGCAAGCTCAAATCGTGGATCTGGAGCTTTGGGTTCGACATTGAACATCAAGCTAACGTAGATAATCGCCTCTGGGTCTGTGAGCGGTGTTTACCGAAGAAATCGCCGAAGGACCCGTGAGCTTCGCGGCAAAGGGGACCCTAAACATTGAGCGCCATCTACATGATGCTCACAATGTTATTGACCCATCAGGTAGACGGTTACCGAAGGGTTCTACAACCAACAAGCGTTCTATTGCCCAATTCTTCAACCTCGATGCCAATGACCAGAAGGAGCAAGCATTCATTAACAAGCTAAAAAACCAATTCGATAAAGATGTCTTCCAATCTCTTGCTTGCTTGGATCACCGAGTCGAATGTTGCCTTCCGCGCAGTTGAAGCCCCTCGATTCCGGCGTCTTCTCGAATACCTCAATCCCTCGATCGCCCTGACTCAAGCCCACATGACACACTCGACTATTCGAACGAAGCTTTTCCAAGAATACCACCAGTACAAGCATATTGTGATAAAGGAACTGAGGAGCGCCCGGGCAGATACACCTTGCGTTTGACGGCTGGAGATCGCCCAATCGCTATGCGCTTAATGGGATTGCTGCGTTCTATCTCTCTAAGGAAAAGCGGCCACAGAAGATCATCCTTGGGCTCCTGAACTCCGAGAGTCTCATACTGGCGAGAATATAGCGTCGCAGGTGGCGGAAGTGATCGAATCATTCGAGATTCAAGACAAGATCGGGTATTTCACGCTTGACAATGCGAAGAATAACGATACGGCGGTAGCAGCACTGGGACACGTTTTTAATTTTGAAGGGAAGCAGAGACGGGTCCGCTGCTTTGGGCATATCATCAATCTCGTGGCCAAAGCGCTGCTCTTTGGCAAAGATAATGAAGTCTTCAAATCAGAAGAGCGACTCGACCTGGACCTTGCTCGACATGATCTCTGGCGGAAGAGGGGGCCTATTGGCAAGCTCCACAACCTTGTCCACTGGATTCATCAATCGGATAGGTTAACGTACATGCTTCGGGATCTACAACGCAAGAGGACAGTACGAAGAAACCAGTTGACGTTCTAACGGATAACATGACACGATGGTTGTCCCATTATAAGATGATGGATCGAGCCCTTCTACTGCACGACTTTCTTGACGACCTCGTCGCATTGGAACAGTTCGAATATACCCGAAGCAGGTCAAAGAAGAAAGACATGCCTGCATGCCTCCGAGATTCTGACCTGCTGACCGGTAACGACTGGACAGTGATCAGCCACTTTCGGAATATTCTTAAGCACTTCGAAAATGCCATCAAGGCCCTCGAGGAGATGCCCAGATTCGGGTGCGTAAGGGCGGCAACCTCGTGGCATACGGAACAGCATGGGATATTATCCAAGCATTCGAATATCTCCTTGAACGATTGGAAGAGGCAAAGGAATTCGCCAAGGATGTGCCTGATTCCGAGCATTTCGCGATAAACGTCGAATTGGGGTGGAAGAAGTTGGAGAAATACTATATCAAGTTGGTTGAGTGCCCGGTATATTATGCTGCAGTCGCTCTCCATCCCGCCTTGCGACTGCAATGGTTTGAGGAGGCTTGGGCTCATCGACCTGAATGGGTCCTTGAGGCACGACGGATTGTTCGGGGCATCTGGGAACGCGACTATAAGTCATTAATTCTCAGCGATGACGAGGCTATTCCGATGGTTAAACGTCGAAAGGTTGACGACTTGAACGAGTTCCAACAGTTCCGACTGAGGCACCGGCTACAAGCTGGTCAGACGGCCACAACCCGTCGTGGGCCACCTACTGCCGATGAATTCGATCGCTGGACTGTTGATATCGGCGCAGATGACGGAGACATCACGGATCCGTTCCAATACTGGCAACTCAAAGAGTCAACGTATCCCAGACTTGCTCGAATGGCCTTTGATATGCTATCTATACCGCCAATGTCAGCAGAGTGCGAGAGGGCGTTCTCATTTGCTGGGCTAATGGTCACACGACTACGCAGCCGGCTTCAGGCTAACACGATCAATGCAGGCCAGGCAATTCGGTCTTGGCTGAAGGCAGGGCTAATACCCGACTACCAGGGGATTATTGATGCTTCAGTCGATGACGATGTCTTCCCGAAGAGGTGCCCCACGAAGGACGAGAAGTTGATGGTGTTGAGGACCTTAAGTAGCTTACTAATAGGTAGGGTAGGGCATCAACTCCATCAATCAACGCAATCAATTCAACGAGGGCTTGGATTGCTCAACTCAACGAGAGGTTCGCTGATGTAAGCCGTCAATCTACTCAATTTGACTCTTTGGTTGAGTTGATTGAGTGGTTTGCCACCCTGGGCCTGGGGAAGAAGTACAATGTTCGCGCTCCAGGATCGCGGCTTTTCGTGTCCGCCGAGTTCACGCACACGATTGAGAATGGGTCTGAAGGTCCGAACGACAACTTTTTGGTAAGTTCCGATGACTTGACTTTGTCACTTCTCGGGGGCGATAGCTAAACGAGCCGAGCAGAGACCGATCGAGTGGGTTCTGTGGGGTCCTGTTCATGGGACAGCTTTGGTGATCATTCCGGAGGAGGTGGAGCTCTTGATACCGGTCATCAGGGCCATGGAGCGAGCGCCGGTACACCTGATCCCCTACGCTGCATCGACGACCAATAACATGGTCCATTCCAGCGAGTTGGCCGGCTACGTCTTGCCCTCCCCTCTGCTGAGCAGCCCTTTGCCTTCGTGGCTTTCGATTGAGCTGGGGCTGCTCGGTGCTAGACTGTACTTCGACTTTGAAGAGTATTCGATGCTCCTGAAGTACCTGCGCTCAGTACTCAAGGTTGGCAGCACCGCATCTGCCGGAGCTGCATCTGGTAAAGCTTCCAGAAGCGTCTCAGCTGGAGACATATACACCTTTCTGCTGGAGTGGTTGAGCGTCCGCCGTAAAGGACAGGACATTATGCACACTCCAATGGGATACATTTGTCAGGGTCGACAGTTGGAAGCGAGTCACCCCTTCTTTTCCACCAAGGAGACATGCAAAACAGGGGTTCGCAAGATTGATTGAAAGGGTGGAGAATAGCGGTCCCGGGGATTTGGAACCCGATCTGAGCCAGCCACGGGACTAGCGAGATAGGCCCCAGGATATCCATACCATCTCCCCCATGACGTCGAAACTCAAGAAGCCAAGCCACCTGTGCATATCGATAGACGGTTCTTTCAATTCTCTCGCAGCAGGCCCCTTGGTGATGTCTATATAAAGCCCATAGCATCCCGACGGGGACTGCCAATCAATCTAGAGGGACATCGTCAAGAACCATCACGCGATTGAGATCATTCTCGAAGTTCTGTCAACTTGCTACTCTTTCGATCGTTTCATTCCTAATGAAGGCGGGAGCATTTGTCGTTGTTGTTCGTTGCCTGCGTTGCGTAAGCAGGACAGATCTGATGTTAACGGACGACGTACATTTGCACGGATATGTGAAAATCGGGTACAATCTGTCTATTGCACTAGTTGCGCGAAGAAGACTGGCTATCTGGGCTTGTAATACAGTACGCTAGGGGATTGACGGGTTTGCGGGCTCTTTCGGGTGATCATGTTTCCTGCCAGACCGAGAAAATGTCGACTGCGGCGCCATGGCATGATACGGAAGCAAAACGTGACTCTCTCTGTCGGCTGCATGACGAGCGAGACGGCGGTGTCCCGGCGCGGAAATCCGTCCGTCGCCAGGTTGTAGACAAGCAGACTTCCCAGTGTCCTCCCGCCGCTGCAGCAAATGGCCCAGTGGCTGGTTGTGCTGTTTTGGACTCGCCCTAGGCGGCTCACTAGGACGCGGTAATTACCCGTTGGCGGGGGCCTTCGGCAGCCAACGGGTATACTTCACGAAGTACAAACTTCACTACAAACTTCACTACAAACTTCACCACAAACCTTCACCACAAACTTCACCGCAAACTTCACTACAAACTTCACTGCAGACTTCACCGCAGACTTTAACTCTCTTCTTGACAAGCTTCGAACTGCTACTACTCTAAACTCCAACTTCTTCCCATTGCAGACCTGCCACTGGGTCTGCCCCAATATTTGCCCGCTACTCACATCTATCGTTATCTCCCAGAACTTTCATGTGAACGATGGTTTAGAAGCTTCCAAGTCTGCAATTTGCGAGCCTGCATTCTCAGCTGCGTGTGTCTTTTGGGGCGGGGGCGCTTCGGGTGGAGTGGAAGGCGCTTGCTCTTCCGTGAGTCGCCTCGGTGATGGATTGGTTGGCAGTTGGGTGTGTGCGGTATATTGGTATTGAGCTTCACGGCGGCGTCTTCGGTCTTCAGCGCGCCGGCGGTCCATATCGTGCAAGACGCGGAGGATCTCGTCGTGGGGAACTCTGACAAGCGGTGAACGGCGCCGATGGGACCTCTGCGATTCGAGATCCCCCAAGGTGCGCCTCACCTCTTCGGGTGAGACCGTGACTGGGTGTTCTCGCGGCATTCTGTAGGGGGATGGCTGGAAACGAGTGCT